TTTTTGTAAATAACTAGATAATCGAGCACGGTGTGTCTCAACACGTACCAAACCTGCCCAGGGTAGCAAAACCCCTACACGAAACCACCCGAACCACCCCCACTGCCCCATTTGGAACAGGGTTCCACGAGACACGAGTTTTTCGGTTCGAATTGTCATCCCTAACTATAATGGATGATTGTTTATTTTATTTTATTTTACTATTGCAAGTCTATTTCGTTAGGGGTTACTACTACTCTCTAAAATAAGGGACTAGCAAAGCAATATTTAATTAGGTTTTGCACTATGTTAGATTATATAGCAGTTACTGCTCAGCCATGGTTTCTTGGAATTGTTTTTATTGAATAAAATATATTTGAGAGTATTCTCAATTCCTTGTTGATTATTGGGCATTCAATTTTGCAAATCAACAAATTCTTGACATCCAACTCTTTGATATTATATGAATCTACGTTTTAATTCTCGATATTCTAACGAATCAATGAGCATTTTAGATGTGTTCTTTGTTCGCTTGTATTCCGTTGCATCAGCCTCCAAGCTTTATTCTCACATTTCGAGACTTTCGGTATGCAGAAACTGCTTACAAGTAGGAAATGGCTTGTGAAAGAAAAGATCTCTTCGAATGCATGCCTCCCAAAATCATGGGGGGAAAAAGCCCAATGCAAGACTTGTAACAGTTATTTATAGGGAAAATTGCATAAAACCAGGCATTTAGTTTGACATTTTTAAAAATCAGGTTTACACTTTATTTAATCAATTTTCAAGTTTTTATCATTTTAATTAATAATGATATCATTAAATCAAAATAACCTATATACCCACCCTACTACTTACCCCCCACCAAATTTATTTTAAACATGAAACCCTAAATCAAGTCTCGTGTCTCTCACCATTTCTCTCCACTCTCTCACCGCCCGCTGCCTCCACCTCCCCCGCCACCTTCCATCTCACCTCCTCCTGCCTCCCTGTCGTTCAGTAGCGCCGCGAATCGCAGCAGCACCGAACTCGATGAACTTCGAGTCCACTCGTTCTCTGGTGTAATCCCACCTTCTATCACCTACCTTAAGTCTCTGAAATTTCTTGATCTTTCGAGAAATTCACTTTCTGGGTCGTTGCCGAACTCGATGAACTCGCTCACCAGCTTGGTGAGACTGGACCTGAGCTACAACAAACTCATTGGGTCTCTCCCGAAGCTCCCTTCCAACCTTAACGAACTAGCTTGAAAAGCTTGTTCCTTAACATGATCTCTTTTTTATTCATCATTCAATGTGTTAACTCAGTTGATGATGGTGGAACTCGGTGAAAACTCCTTCGCCGGAACTCTCGATGCTAGGCTCTTCATCTTACCCTCCTTTCAGCAAATCGATTTAGCCAATAATAGCTTTACAGGTATTATCGTCCTAAAGCCTCCTACAAACTTTAACAGCCAACTCGTCGCTGTAAATCTGAGTTTCAATAGGATTAATGGATTTTTACCTGTGAATTTCACTTATTACCCTATGCTGCAGACTCTCTGACTAAGTCGTAACCAGTTACGTGGATCAATCCCGAAAGAGTACAGCAAGAAGGTATAACGCCCCGAATTCCTTGAACCCGGATTGCCACGTCATCTTTATTTGTAAATGAATTAACTAAAAATATTTGCGAAAAATAACTAAATTTTAAATATCACATTTATAACGGTAAAACATCGTTGGCAACAAAACTCATTTGATTAACTGAAGGAATTTGATTAAAGTTTAAATCTCGAGTTTTTGAAATAATTGAAATGAAAAAGTATGTAAATAATATTCAAATACGAAATTTTTCAAATGTAAATAATTTCATCCATTCAATCGTTGCCACCAATGCCCATCAAACCCGATCGTCTCCAAAATCTGCAAATGTCGTTAAAATAACGGAATGAGTATTTCGAAAAAATACTTAGTAGATTTATCGTCGATAATTAATTTACAGAATATTTGATCACATAATTATGCAAAATATACATTGACTTCATCATCATCATTGGCTTATTTTCTTGAAAATCATAGGCTCTTTAAAATCATAGGGTGTAGGCAGTCTCGTCTCATGCATTTAAGCACATGAGTTATGCATAACATTCTCATCTTATCTCATAAGATATACTCGTCTCTTCTAATGCATTAAAGCATGTAAGTTATGACAAGCATAACAATATCATATATCTCATATGACATATTCTCATCTCATGCATTAAAACATATAAATCATGTAAATCCACATAATACATGCAATTATAATTTAAACTAATTAATGGTGGCGAGTCTACCTTAAATTATCTCGAGTCTCGTAAAAAGTGGAGCGGGACGTAACCTCAATCTCCTAATTGTCCATACGTTTCGTCTAGCCAAAATAGAAAATAAGTTTTGAATTAGTATT